TTTAACAATAAAGCCCTTGAGCTGATAATGGGTTATAGAAGGTGAGGTACCATGGAATATTGCTCAACAAGGGACTGACGGAAATGCCGCACGTAAGAGAGGCTACAACTAAAGCTACCGAAGTAGCCAATATTAGAGCATGCACCTTTCCCGCGATACATGGCCTGAGCAAGTGAGCTTGTCGTAGATTAGTTCATTCTGTAACAGAATCAGTTGCTCGTTTTGGAGAGCCAGTGTGATTCCGATGGACAAAAGAAGAGCTATATAGGGGCGCGTAGGGGCATTCCGCACCGTACAAGCCTGTCCCACAGTCAGTACTCGTGCAGTACTTTTACCTGTAGTACCCTATTTTGGGACTTGGAAGAAGACGAAAGCTATAAACTACCAAAGATAAGTACAATGAATGCGGAGCCTCAGAGAGAGATACCAACTATCTAGCAATGGTAATAAAAGTGGTTTGCGATTACAAAAGGTGCTCCTGGCATCTGATTCACGTATCAGATTGGGGTCTGACAAGTTTGAAGTGGAAACTAGGTACTACGCCCTAAGCAAATCAGAGGACGAAACAACTTTTAGATCTACTTATAAAAGATCGGGAAGACACCTTTAGGCTTATGTATTCATTATGACCTTAAAGCGCAGAACGATGCATAATACACTTTATGGTTGTCTCCCTATTAAACAAGTGCGGATAGATACCTGGAATACAGTTGAAAATGTTTTTTGGGTTAAGAACATAAAGGTATTCCCTAAATAAAAATTAGCCGACTTCATCAAGCTTATAAAAGGTATAACTGGAGAATAAGGACTCGGCGTAGCTATCGCAACAGAGGTTCTTGTCGTCAAAGGAACATCAATACTGACACACTTCAACGCCTAAGGTGAATGGGCAATGATTTATGTAGAGCCGATTGAATTATATCTTTGCAGGGAAGGCAAGAGTTGATGAGGAAGCGGGTGATGAAGCCTTGCTGTCAGGTCTAGGGTACAAGGCGCAGGGTAAGCGCTTCCACTTGGAACTAGGCCTATCTAGAGGTGGGAATGCTGACCAAAGCTGATCAAAGTACTAGTTCTCATCTAATTAATTAGTTTGATGTCTACCACCTCACTATTCATAATATAGTGCCACTAATTAAGGATCTGGACTGGTTTGGATGAAGCCTAAGTGTAGGCTGTTCATTTGTTACTAACTGTCTCGGCCATCTAAACGTAGTCATCGAGGTGAAGTTCGATACTACCCTAAGAGTAAAGTATCGCACTTTTTCGGCTGTATGCGTAAACGATTAACCTGCGAAAAAAAAGAATATAGCCTTGTGTACTTTGGTTTCTGTATTACTTGAATTGCAAGTTACTCATGAACCATCGCAATCTATCCTAATCACACCAGACAAGCGGCACTTTCCTGTGATATTCTCCTATAACACCCTCATGATCTTCCACGTTTGTGCTTAACACTATAACACTAAAAACATGAGCCGAAGGCAGCGAATTTAAGTTCTCTCCGTCGATAGCTGTGAGGCTTCATGTACGAGAACTTGAAGTAGTAAAAAACCGTAAACGCCCGGTTTCGAATATGCTCTATAACATTAGTTCAATGGAATCTTCCGACTATCGGAAAAGCTTAACATCGAAGAGCAAAGGTCGACGCTCTCGCAAGCCCACATAAACTTGGCCGCCGCATATCAATTTCAACATGGCAGACTATGGGTCTTTCACATATCTAGGGTAACACGACAAAGGTACCTCGAAAACGTAATTCATATCTGGAGACCAAAGAAAATATCTTGCAAACTTGAAAACTCCTATGCATACAAACTACGTAACCTCAAACAGGTCATGTATTTCGACTGTTTGCGAGTTCAGATGAAAAGCGGCCTTGCAAACTAGAAATAGAGTATTGCTAGAAATACAAGGAGCTAACACCAAGTCTGGCGAGGTGCTAATTCGAAAAACCAGCGTTAAGTTAGATGCGTAAACTGGAGTGAGCCCACTGACTTCAGTATGAGTCAAAGGCGTAGAACGTACTACCATAACTGATAAGACACTATTTTTAAAGAATCAGGTAAGAAAAGGTGAAACTAGATAGACTTCTCCCAGGAAAAATTAATTACTGGACAACACAAGCCAATAACACAAGGCTTTGCGACTTAAGTCGTAATATAAAGGACTATCGAAAGTGCTTGGGCCAGCTATCAAACAAGCGAGATATCTGAATCGAAGTGCTGCTTTAACTTCCTGAAGGTAGGCCATTGGGCACACAACTCTTTTAGAAACAAAGCTGACAGTAGACGCTGCTACAAATAGTCGGCGGTAGGACGTGAGACACACAATCTCCTGCCAAATAAAATCTGCTTTAGAAGCACCGTTTAGAACCATACTTTCAACATGATGGCCGCCCAGTATATCGACAAGGTGTTAGAACAAAACAAATGAGTAGAAACAAAAACTTAATTAACGTTGTTAAATATATGGTCCAAGTGTTTCAGGTCAATTTCAATAGATGTCGAAAGAAAGACAATATTATACAACAAAAGATCAAGATATATGTAAAAAGGTCTAAATGAAAAATGGAAAGGTCAACATAATCCTGGTTGTTTGTCCTGGTGACGGGCGAGACGATAGCCAAGGTGGTGACCGCATAAGTCGCGTGTTCAAATGTAGACATCTGCGCAAATTATGTTTTCTGAGATTTTTTTTGCAAAAACAACGAGCCTCCGCATTAGGGAATTTATGTAGAAATCACAATCTGTTGTCATACGGTTCCTTTAAAGTGAGTTGTCGTGAACGATATCGAAGACATAAGCTTCTGTTCAAAAGATGAGCCCGGGCACTTTATGGCTCTCGTAGCAGTGTCTTAAAAGCTTCAGAGGCCAGAAGCTGTGAAGCAACCATGGCCGATGATCGACCGAAAAAAGCCTTTAAGTTTAGTGGCTACACCAAACAAGGCCAGAGTAACAAAGACTGGCTAGGTGACCAATAACAGCAAAGGTCTAGCCATTTGTTACAATCGTTAAAAACCTCACCGTTAAAAGAGCTGAGGTAAATAACAGTTCTATGTAGATTACGACTACGAGGATACGAACGTACAGCTGCGAAAAATATCCAATTTCTTGCCGTGAAGACTTCCAAAAAATGTTCAAGGACATCGGAGGGACCTTGAATGGAAGCGACAAAGCTGAGGAGTAGCAGATGCACCCAGGACAGAGGTCGACTTTTTCTGTGATTGGCTGTACAAGACCTTCCGTTAATCAATGATGGACATAAGAAGCCTAAATTCTACAAGAGGAAACAGATCTGTGTGGAACAAGTGATGCAAGAGGTTAGGGTATGGCATGTCGCAGATGAGCTAAAAAGCCTTAGCAATTTGAGGAACCTTATTTGCAAGGTTAAAGGCTAAAGGTAGGGTAAAAAAATCCAAAGATCTGGTCAAAACCTATTTGGCAAAAGTCAATCTCAGAAAGCTGAACGAAAAGATGCTGAAAAACGCGCCATCGGGTGCTGCCGTGGCTCTAAAAAATTCACAACTAATATATCAGCGCACTCCATGACTGACAGGTGAAGACGAGAATCTTTGTAGACAAAGGAAGCCGCAAGAGCCAGGAGAATCTGTAACAAAGTCGGAAGTTTATGTACCAGTGCTAGGAGGTGGTCTTCTATAAAACAACTTTAATTTCAAAGGAGCAGAACCAACACGTACAAGTAAAGCTAGCGGAACAAAGGGAAGAAGCACTCTTTCCATTCATTCATTTCATTTAAAAGTTCATTAAAGCAGTGGAATGCAATTAATGACGGAAAAGCTACAAGATAATCAGCGTTCAACTAGGTGAAATGCAGCCCAAACTCATAAATCAGCTGATCAGGAAACAGCCACAGAACCATTCCAGGACATTAAGGAGGCAGAGAATTGGTGCTTAGGTCAGTACTGAGTTGACCTGTAGAGCGCGTGTGGTAAAATAGATGTGAAAAAGTAGTGGAATAAAATGAGATAACACCAAAAACATTTGTAAACAAGCTATGATGTGACGTTAGAAGCGACGAGGTCTATGTGGTTACTGCACATCTTTTCGTTGCTGTGTTAAGCATGAACCTACAGCCATCGCTTCAGGTTTCAGCGTTGCCAAGTGGTTACCATGACACCATTTCAGAAATCTGCTGGCAAAATCTCTCGACAAATATAGTAAGGCACATTATAAACGGACCTTCTAATAAGAGTAAACTCTTAATGCTTTATCGAAAAGGTGACTTCTAAGACATAGAAGGACTAGCCATTAAGAAAACGTTATAAGGGGAGACCAAACTTCTACAAGAAAATCACTTCCTAAGAGAGTGGAAAGAGGTTAGCTTAATACTTCTAAGCAACCGAACTTATATAGGTTATTCTATCTCCTCAGTACAATGCGAAAGCTACTTTAATAACTAGTAGTATGGCTAGTAAAGGAAAAAAGCATTCCTAGAAAACTTGTTTGTGCTTAAGGAAAGTAGATCAGAAGTTTCGACCATAGATATAATCTAGGAGTATACCTAATTGGAAATAGGACAAAACGTCGAAAAACAGAAGTCTCTCTTTGATTATTTTCCAAAACTAAAATATGCCTTAAACCAAAATTCTAGCTTGTCAGGCGAAATTGAATTTTAAAATAACGAAATAGAAACGCAGACATTTACGAAATTATATTCACGTATCCGTTTATGTTTTGAATTGGAAAAGCAGCGCCTGATTAGCTTCAACTGAGAAAAAGGAGTATGACAAGGAGGCTGTCCTTTCGATCGGCAGAAACAGACTTAAAATATAAGTAATGGTAAAAACCGATTTTACTACTACCTGTAACGAATATGAGAGAGACACGGGGTAAACACAAATAGTGTAGTCAAATAGTCATTTTGCTCTAGGTAAAAGGTTTTGGTATAACGTCTTAGAAAGCGTTCCGGATCCAAAATGCAAGTCATTATTATGGACAGATCGTAATAATAAGTTTGCGTCTTGGAGGAGCGATAACCGATTGTCGTAAATAACATAGATTATAGCTCTTTTTACCTAAGGTAGGCTACTAGCAAGAGTGATTTATAGAAACAATTTAGACTTTCAGGTAGTATACATAGTAATTAGATATGTATCTAATTACGTTGAACAAATCTTGAAGTTCAGAATGACATACTTCGCACATTTTATGATTATGATAAGAAAGATGTTAAAAGGTCATCGTAGTGACAGAGTCCCCTGTTTATCCACTAAATTTAGGGTCATGCGGTGGTCTAGATTCGAAACCAGGCGTACCAGGCTTTGTTTTATGGTTGCAACTAGCCGTCTGAAGTAACGCTTGTCGGCAATACCGAACGTAGAATATTTATTTAGTAAAGATGTTAAGGCGCTACGACAGGTCATACATCCAGTCGAATGCAGGAGCAGTTTTCTGGCATTTATCTGACGAACAATAAACAGTACAAAAAATGTGGACAAACATAATTAATCAGTTGGCTTTTGTTTAAGAGCTATCGTTTTGGAAATCTAAGCAAGAATTAGTTTCTTCATTTAAATTGAGCTTAAAGCTCCTTGCACTGCATAACAATTCGGAAATAATAATAATGTTCTTACGCTTGTTACTTATAAATAAGTATCTGTCAATTAAGTTGAGCTTTTTTCGTTATTCTTGATCAGTGTTTACCGAATGATCCCGGTGCTTATTCACCATAGACCATCTGATACAGACCGAAAAAATCAGAAATATGAGTTAAAAATGTTTGTTTTAATTCTCAATTATTGTTATATAATGAGTTTTATTATATTTGCGATCAATTAAACAACGAGAGCTTTTTGACAAATATCTGAAATACTCATATATTCCTCGAAACCCTTTCACTATATTGCTGTACGATAGGTAACTAGTAAAAGAATAAAGACCAAAAAGTGAATTATCGAAAGACTTTTTTTATTTAATAAGCGAATAAATAATACTTTGGAAATGTACACCACTGTTACTTTCAAAGATAGAGCTATCAAATGCAATAATGAATTTACCAGTAAATGAATGACCTATTTTATAAGCCTCGTCTTCGACAAGATAAATGAAAAAAAAATTGACTAATTATCATAAATATCAACAAAAGCGTAGAAATCAGGAGCGCAATTCAACGAAAAAAAAAAAGCGAGATTTCGGAAGAGAATAGAATATGAAAAAAAATCAAAATTTACATATATTAAATGTGAAGGTATGTGAAAAAAATATTTTGATTTAGGAAGTGGCTAAGAGGAGCAGCAGAAAATAAGGATAAATGTTTTACGCGATTGTTATAATTTTCTCATAACATAATATATATATATATATAATAATAATATTAAACTTCTCTATAAGTTATAGAGAAGTTTCTTAATATTCACAAAAGCGTGCGCCAATTGAGTTATATTAACCTTATAAATGTTTCAAATTTTGTGTAGTACGCATTTTGTAAAAATGCAATTGAAGGTGCGCACATTATTTGTAAAATAGACACTCAACGCATCCACAACTCCTTTCTGGGCGACACAGGTGGAACTGCGGCATAGTAATCGAATAGGACTGCAAATATTGATCACATGCAATTGTAGTAATTAGACGTCAAGGATGTTGAATACTTAATATATCAAAGGGTTGCAAAGTACAAGGGATTGAAGGTTCAAAGTTTACAGAGAATATACGCCAGAAAGGTTGCAGATTATGAATGTGATAAAAGCTAATCGAAGAATAATTACGAACTGTGCAAAGGAAATTCTAGAGGGTAACAAAGGAGGGAGTGAATGAGATAAAAAAAAATAGCTATATTGTGATCTGAGTTCAAACATTTTGATATTCACATGATACAAAGTATTTTAATAGTTCTATATACTCATATAATACAAGTCATATTCTATCGTTGACCTGTATACAGTTTTTGACCACTACCGGCAAAGGTGTATGGAGGGACTGATTAGTTGAATTTTCCAACCAGATTCACAAGTTCCTGGTAACAATCAAACACCACTAAGATGCACTTTCGACTTAAATTTCAAGTTCAACTTAAACTTCGTATAATATATGTACACAGTAGATTCGTCTATCCTTGTTATCTTTAAAAAGAGCAATTTACGTTACGGTCAGTAGACGGCGGCAATACGGTCACAGCCTCGTAGTGGAAAGTGAAGGATTGACCGGAAAGGTTGTAATGGTTCTATTTTTTAAAATGTGTGGCCCGACCTATGTTATCATGGTCAGTCTACCGGAGACAGAACACGTCATTATACGAACGGTAAATTGTTGTTACGTTTGTTACGAGCTAAGCAGTTACGAAAATTAGCGGTGTTAGCAGTAGCCCGAGATAATAAAGACGAAAACTTACGCACAACTTTATTTCTGAGAAGGTCATTTCAGAGATTTCAAGTTTAATGTGCTTAAAAGCCCACCTTCTGCGAGAAACCTTCCACTTATTTAATATTTACAGTTTCTTCCCTTTTTTTTAATCTAATAACATTCGACTATTTTCTTTAAACAGTGTCTCTCTTTAACAATTATTTAACGAAGGCAATGAACTGTGAGGACGTGGGCCCCAATTTTAAATCCTGTGACGCGATTTGCAGTTTTTACTAT